CGTGTCGTTCCTTACAGGCCTCCTCGATCAATACGACCGACTCACAGGACGCACCCAGGAACCATGCCCTCTCCCCTGGACAGCACTAGCAGAAGCGGTCGGATCATGAGCGCAGACACCCGCCTAACAGACCCACTAACCTCACACCACGCCCGCGACATCGCAATGAAATCCGCACGCGTCGCACACCTCATCGAAAACACACTGAAACTAGCCGGGCACCCTCTCACCGCCGACACAATCGAAGACTACCTCTCACAACTACTTACAGGACAACATCCCACAGGACAGCGCATTAGAACCGTCCTCAAAGAAAACGAGGGCGGCGCTTTCATCCGACTAGACAAGACCGGGACATCACGGCACGGCAACCCGTCCCACCTATGGGCACTCAACCGGAGAAAACAATGAGAGCATTACCCACCGCTGATGAGAAACCATACAAGGACTGGGAACACGCGAACACAGCATTCCGGCAGCGTCTTAAAGAAGCCAGAACAGCGTACGCGAACCTCATGCACGCATTCCACGGCAACCCAGTCAGCGACCTGTACAACACAGGTGGGCGGCTTGAGAAACACCATGTCACAGCACTCGAAACTCACGCGAGCAAAATCACCCACAACGCCCATAAATACCAGACAGCAACACAACTACTCCTCGACGTTTTCGAAAGAGGTATCAACGATGTCCGATGATTGGAAATGGTATTACGAGCAGTCTTTGTGTGATGAGGGGTATCTGCAATACCGGCACTATTCGGTGTTGGAAAACGCGCGTTTATCACTGGCCGCGGCACGCAAGAACCTTATCGACGCGGAAGCCACCGGGAATCTGAAACTCATGCGAGAAGCATGGGCGCGCATTGATAAGTCAGAAGTAAGACTGATTGAGCTCAACGAATATGGAGAGAACTAATGGATGTTGAAGAATTGCTTTCCGCTGTGAAGGCGGGGAAGCGGCCGTATGCTCCGGGTGCGGACCTCCAGGGTGCGGACCTCCACGGTGCGGACCTCCGGTACGCGAGCCTCGGACGTGCGAACCTCCAGAAAGCGAACCTCCACGGTGCAGAACTCCGGTACGCGAACCTCCAGGATGCGGAGCTCTACGGTGCGGACCTCCAGGACGCGGGCCTCTACAGTGCGAACCTCCACGGTGCGAACCTCCACGGTGCGAACCTCCAGGATGCAGACCTCCGGTTCGCGGACCTCCAGGGTGCAGACCTCCACGGTGCGAACCTCCACGGTGCGAACCTCTGCGGCGCGGACCTCCAGGGTGCGAACCTCCACGGTGCGAACCTCCACGGTGCGGACCTCTACAGTGCGAACCTCCAGGATGCAGACCTCCAGGACGCGAACCTCCGGGGCGCGAACCTCTGCGGCGCGAACCTCCAGGACGCGAACCTCCACGGTGCGAACCTCCACGGTGCGGACCTCTGCGGCGCGGACCTCCAGAAAGCGAACCTCCAGGATGCGGACCTCCAGTACGCGAACCTCCAGGATGCAGAGCTCTACTGTGCGGACCTCCAGGGTGCGGACCTCCACGGTGCGAACCTCCACGGTGCAGAACTCCGGTACGCGGACCTCCAGGGTGCGGACC